CATGCCTTGCTTAAAGGTGCTACAATAATTCGTCAGTAATTTACACTTGCAGTGCATATGTTGAGACTAGCACTATGCGTTTTACTGCTGTGTCATGTATCCAAACTTTGTTGTGTGCACTGTGCAGTCCTCAACAGAGTTTATTCATTTTAACCAACAATAAATGCTGCAATAATTGGATCAGAGGAGAATCAAACTTGGACTTTTTCCAATAAGTCTTCAAGGAATTGATTTTTTGAGATTTCTTTCTTTCTCATCAGTGATCCAGGATGCTTTCTAGGGCTGGGCGATAAACCGATAAGATGTAGATTCACATTTTCTGCTCTGCTCCCTTCAAACACTGCTTCAAAGTCCCTGAATTTCCGTTAAAGCTCCTGTGGGGAGTTTTTCACTAGTTACAAAATGGACTGAAGTCAACGTTGACGTCTCTACCAACAAAAAGTAAATGAGACCAAATCTGACTAGTCTGATTGTTTCCACAGGGTTTCTTTGATGCCTAAAATTGCTGCCAAAAGGAAAGTGTCAGATGCCTTTTATATAAACACTGTCAGGTACAGATTCAGTGTAAATACGTAGACGATAGAGCTCGGCGATAAACCAAAAATTTACCAATACTGAAATTTACAACAATAACCGACGTCATTTTGCCCATATCCGTATATTCAGTGTCAAAAAATCAATAAATAAAAGTTGGTTTTGGACGTGTGGAGGTAGGCTATGGTCTCATGTCCTTGTAAGACGCTGTCCTACATCAGAGACATGACTCCACCCCATCCAGTCTGTAACAAAGAGGGAAAGACAGGTGAGGAGATGGAGTAGACGAGATGGAGTGAAGAGTAGACAAAGTTATTGTGGGAGGGGGTGAGCAGCTTGTGGAGTAGTTATCATCTGTTTCTCATTATCGTGGTGAACTTCTCAATATATCGTGATATTGATTTAGGCCATATCGCCCAGCCCTATTTAATATTTATGAAGTTAAGGATTAAATATACAGTATTATACTCCAGTGCTGCTGGAGCGATCGAACTTCACAGACAGATGGACAAAGTGAATGTAAATATGAACGTATGAGAACCTGAATCTGACGACAGCTGTCTCGTACAAACAATCCTTCAACATGAACGTGGCGCTAAGCGTATAACATTGAACTTTTCACAACTAGCAGTCGGGATGTCCTCACTTATAGCACATAAACAAAGTGCTCTCTGCAGAAAACTTAACTTTATCCGCTTTGAAAGTATTGGCAGTGATTTCTCTCTTACACCGGCCTGATTTTACTACAGCACTGTCGATGCAATGCTGTAATTGCAGATAAAAAGGACAAACTCGAGTGCTGTCCTCGAGTGACAGAGTTCTTCATGAAAACAGTGTCAGAATCTGAAGAGGGCCAGAAGCAGTATGGACGTTAAAGAGCTTACCTTGAAGCTTAATGTGCTGGAAGAACCCTCCATCAGTGGTCAACAACAGGCCCTCGTATTCGCATTAGTATTACCGTACTTTATTATCATCTGTATTTGGCTTATGTAGGTGAAACTTTGGTCATATATGCAACAAAAGTGGTCACAACTATAAAGCACTGCTCATATTGGGCAAACACGCATTTTTCTAATGTGTTTGCCTAATTTCCAGTAAAATATCTCATCGTACTTATTAAAAGCCAGAGTGACCTGACTAGTCAAGATGTAAGTCTTCATTTAGAATAAGTGTTAGGTCTTGTTTTAAAAAATGTAGAAGAAATGTTGAGTGCTACAATGACCGGCATTTTTACATATTTCAATCAAGCAGGTCCTTGATTCTGGCCTTACTGTAATCTGGTATCTGGTTTTGTCTAGCATGGCTTATACTGCAAAGAGGCTTTTTTGAGGATTCCTATTGCTCACTTCTTCAACTTTTATCCTCTCCTGACCTGGAGGAAACACTTTCATTTAAGATGTGTTAAAAAAAAAAAAAAGGAAGGAGAAGGTAAAACCTTGTCCTTTATATCGGTAAATACCTCTGTATTTTTTCCACAACTCCCTCAAGGTACGTTTACAAAAGGCTTTGTGCTATATCTGGATTTTTTTTATTTTACGAGAGAGAGAAACTCACCTTGTAGTGACAGTTTTGTAGTGAGGACAGCAAAAGTAGTTCCTGAAACTGTTCTCATTGGCACTACCAGGTCTATAGAGGTCACCTAGTGTGTGTGTGTGTGTGTGTTTGAGTGTGTGAGTGTGTGTGTCAGTTCGGGGTCAGTGCCACGGAAACCTGGAATTGAGAGATGGTTGGCTTAACCCTTCACCTCTAATACACACACTTTTTCCTCTCTCTCTCTCTCTCTCTCTCTCTATTTCACACACACACACACTTACACACACACGGCCATGTGCACATGAGTGTGGTCTAATCGGCGGCCCCTGGTGATTTGTCCTCTCAGCTTGAAGCCCTGTCATTCCTCCCTGCTCTCCTCACAATTACAGCCCTGAACTGAACTAGAAAATCTGCTCCAATCTAGCAATTAGTCCTGAGGCCACTGGCCGTGTGTGTGTGTGTGTGTGTGTGTGTGTGTGTGTGTGTGTGTGTGTGTGTGTGCGCTCCTCGTGCTCCAGTTCTTGTGAGGACCAAACAGGGAGAGTAGCCGGAAAGTTGCTGACAGTCAAAGAGTGATTTGGTCTGTTTGTGTTCCTGACACATCAATAATCATTATCAGAGTTTCATATTTGTACCTTCGTCTAATGACGGTAAACAAATTAGTCCACGGAGGAGATGATTGTTCACACAATGATAGTGTTTCTGAAATTATGAAGCCCTCTTTCATGCGAAGACCCTGTTTAAAGATGTTGCAGCAACTTATCGCTCTCCATCTTTGTTTGTGATTACGACAGAGCACAAATATTGGGGATGAGGTTTTTGCAATTATCTGAAACTTTAACTTTAGCTCCAATTACACCCAGTGAACAGCTCCATTTTCTATTTTGTGTGGATTCGAGTATTAGAGAAAATTGTGTTTGCCGAACTGAGAAAATCAGGCTGAGGCTGAAGAAGACTGAAACAGGTTTTGTGGCTACACCTTGTTTCTTTGTTTTGTTTTGATAATCAGTATATGTCTGTTAAGATACGTTAATTCAATTGAATTAGTGTGATTATTGTCAGGGATGACTGTTTGGGATATCATAGTTAATACAGAGTTATTAGTTTTAAGTTAGGAGATGGGACAGGGCTTTGCTGCCTTATTCGCCCTTTATGCTCTCACACTTGTGCCACTTTCTTCCATGAAAAGGTGTTGACAAAATAACTGAGGTGTTTTAGACTAGAGAGAAAATGTCCTGTATTATTATGCAGATAAAATTTTTGATGTATCAAAGCTTTTTACACAAATTTTAAGGGTTTGGAATAAAAGAGATGTACATGATTGACAGTAGGGCTGGGCGATAAACCAAAAATTTACTGATAATTTACAGAAATTTACGACAATAACCAACATAATTTTTCCCATGTCAATATATTTGGTGTCAAAAAAAATAAATAAAAGTTGGTTTTGGATGTGTGTAGGTAGGCTATGGTCTCACGTCCCTTTAAGATGTTGTCCTACTTTAGAGATGTGACTCCACCCCATCCACTCTGTAACAAAGAGGGAAAGACAGGTGAGCAGATGGACGATGGTTCAAAAGTTGTAGTGGCTGAAGTAGACGAAATTAATGTGGGAGGAGGTGAGCAGCTTGTGGAGTAGTTATCATCCATTTATCGTTATCGAGGTTCAACTGCTCAATATATTGTGATATTGATTTGAGGCCATATCGCCCAGCTGTAATTGTCAGGTATACTGATATATGAAAAACATATTGATGGAAATTGAAATAAATTATAGATGTATGGATAAATAGAAACATGGCTGGATGGCAATGAGATGTTATGGCGGGAATGTTGGATTAAACATGGATGGATTGATAGATATATTGACATATAAATGGATGAATAAGAGGGTGATAAATTCAAATATGGAGTGAAAGAGACAAATAGATGGAAAGATGGAGTTAAAGATAAATATGTATAAAAGGGCAGATACATGATGGATTAATGGATTATAGATTGCTGGTCAGATTTATGAATGATGGATAGATTTGTCAGTGATATATAAATGGATAGATTGTTAACAGAGATGGATGGATACAGAGAGAGAGACTCATGGACAAATGGATGGATAGATCAATAGATAATGAAACAGAAGAAATGATTTGTTAATACAGATCTATGAAAAGACATGAATGAATGGATGGATTGATTGATAAACAAGTTGATAGATGCATAGATTAATGGACTGATGATAGATTTACATAGAGAAATACTGTAGATGGGTTTGACTGGATAGATATATAGATGTACAGATTAAAAGGTTAATAAATGAATGGACTGATGGATAGATTTAAAGAAAACGGATGGATGGATGGATTGATAGACAAATACTGTAGATGGGTTTGACTGTATTGATAGATGGGTAGATGTCTGATAAAAAGATGGATAGGTTTATGTATAAATGGATAAAGAGATCGATTAACAAATATATTCATAGATAAAGTGACGGCAAATAGATGAAGCATTAAAAATTGAGCCTCTAACTTTTTGCATAAAAAACTGAATTTCCTTCAGAAAGCTGAAAGTAAAATGTGCTTCCTAGACTTAAAGAAAGTCTTTTTTAACGAGATACATTAGACCTTAAAAGGTGAGATGACTTTACCTTTACTAAAGTCACAGATTGATCGAAAGAGAAACTTTATAAAGTTTAATAATTTTGTAACTTTGACTTAAAACAGCTGAAAAGGTGCAGATGGGAGCTTTCATAGTTACCACTAACATCAACGCACAGCCCCCCATAAAGAACATGAGCTTCCTCCTGTTGTGACACGGAGTGATCATAAGCCTTTAAATAACGAGTAAAACACAGCCTCAGGTTTAATAGGTTTAAAGTAATCCAGAGTCCTTACAAAGTGTGCCAAATCCTAATCAAAGTGTGGGTTTGTGAAGATGAGAGGGTGGAGTGGATGAAGAGGAGCGCAGCGTGGTCAGAGGAGGGAGGAGGAGGAGGAGGAGGGGTTTTCATGGCCAGGGGGAGAGCAGGCCTGACTGGGCAGCGACAGAGACGCTTAGTGCCGCCTGGCTTCCTCCTAAAGACTCGGCCTCCTTTCCCCCCAAAGTGTCTCCTCTCTTTCCTCCGCCACCACTCTCTCCTTCACTCTCCTCTTTCCTCCTTTTGTTCCCTTCTCTCCTTCACCCTCCAGTTCCTCCCGTTCGCTCTCCTTTTCTCCCCTCCATTTCTCTCACTTCCTTAGTTTCTTTTTCCCCTCTTTCCCTCGTCTGGGCCATTACAGACACTCAGCGGCGGGCTGGGAGGAGGAGGGCGGGATGGGGAGATTGAGGGAAAGGGGGGGACAAAAGGCCCTGAAATGCAGCGGTCCAGCGAGAGTGGCTGTCTTTGAAAAGAAGCTGGACGGCGTCTTAATGTAGCGAGTGGACGGACAGATGAAGCAGACTCAGTTCTTTATCCTCGTCCTTAAGCTGATGCCTGTTTGGGCCCAAAAAAAAAAAAAAGCACATCATCTGCCTTGTGCCCCGTCCTCTCCGCCTGATGTTTTATCAAACACATTAAGATGTGCTGGAGGGATAGGTGGAGGGAGAGAGGGGAGTGTAGCTGAAGGCCAGACACTTAAGAGGCTGACGGAGAAAACTTTTGCGCTCCCTCAGACGAGGACACGTAGATGAGGTAGAAGAGTGTGTGTGTGTGTGCATTTCTTTGAAAGGTTGCATCTCTTTTATTCTATGGTAAGACATTAGTGTTTCAGCTCTGCTGCTCTGCTGTACTGGGGTCAGTGTTAAGGGAGAAAATATTGACAGTGAAGTTGGATGCGGCACATCAAGAGAGCTAAAAGTGCTGCTTACAGTTTTTTTATGAGGCTGCCTCCAAAGATGCCGCTCAGCTAATAAACCTTGCTGAAATAAAACGTGCAAAGAAGCTTGACTGTTGTTATCAAGTTTTGTTTTTTTTTTCACTTAGAGAAATAAAGCTTTTTTTTTTTTTTTAATTTGCTGGTAAGAGATCAATAAAAGCAGTAAAATAATTTTACAAATCCATGACTCTAATCTGTATGACACAAAATCAAGGACAACAACACTTTTCTTCAAAAGCCTCAATAGTAAACAGATGAGCTGAATGGATTTACTGTCCCTCTCCCATCTCTTATCAACTGTATTCTCCCTCCAATTACTGCAGTTTGTGCGTGCTGGTATTATTTCACTGAGATGGGAGGGCTCCTTAAATGATATTTTCAGCCCACGTTTATTTACTGGCATTGGCTGCCTCTTTGTTGTTGGTGGTGTAAGAGTATTATTATGGATTTGGCTCTGAAAGCTTAGCCGGTCTGCGGTTCCGATATCAGCTGGACTTTGATCAAATGCAACAAGCTCTAAATCCACTTTAATCAGCGCGGCGTTAGTTTACCGACTTCACAGAAAAACACAGCTCAGGGATGTTTCTGAGGATGGGGGGAATAGATACTGACTTATTGACACTTGCAGAAATAAACTTAAACGAAGCGACAGAAACACAAAAAGCAATTTAGGAGATGAATGCTGTTATCTGGATGTAAAGCTTTGAATTTCAGCTACATGAGAGTTTGTTGAAGCAAGTGTTGAAGCTTTGTGGATCATGACTAAACTTTTAGGAAAGTTTCTGTGAGGATTTTTGTACTTAAATTCATATTGAGGCATTTTTAAAGTATCAAAAAGCAAACCGTGCATTTCTGTATTCCATCTGTCACTGCCTGAAACTGACATAAGGAGAAAGTTTTACAAATTATATGTAAAATATTCAAAATAAATTCTTATATATTTGACCGTCAGAAGTCAGCAGGATGTTTTTTTTCTTGCATAAAGTCAGTACTCAAACATATGGACAAGATAAGCAAAGTCGTTTTTGTCCACAGGGGGCGCCAAAATTGACAAAAACAGAAAGAGCCTCATAGGAGCTTTAAAAAAATAGCTTCTCATCTGTGTCATAAACTTCTTTTTTTCTGTTAAGAAGGGCTGCAACGATTCGTCTTAATTGTCGACAAAAACCTTCCATGTTGTTTTCCAGTAGAGTGAGGCATCTTACTTTATTACAATCTCTGCCTCGAGTTACACATGCCCAATAGCGTCACTGCTGAGCGGTAGGGTATTCAAACATGACGGCGCCGGCATCCCATACAGTAGCTACTGGTACACGCTTAAAAACCTCCAAAATTATTTGGGAACATTTTAGCCTAGATAAGGCAAAAATGTCAAATTTAAGAAAGGAATTCTTAATTATCCAATTAGTCCACCAATCGTTTCAATAGTGGTGACTAGTCTACTATTAAAATAGTTGTTAGTTGCAGCCCCACTCTTAAGTTGATAACAGTTTGAGCAGTAAAGACCTGTCTGTTATTATTAGACATAGAAATACAACAAAGGTTCAACTTTGCTGCCGTCAGTCAGAAGAAACCGTTAACAGAAGTATTTAAGGAGGTGGGGGTGTTTTTGGACCTCACTGATCTCGCTTTGAAGAGGTCAAAACTGGCAGTGAATAACTTTGAAGTATCATAGTGTTTCCAGGAGAAGCTGTGTTCCTAATATCTGCCTGTCTTTTCTTTGTTAATAAATCCGGTACACTAATACCCATTATACCTTCAATAAGTAAGTGCAATAATCACTTGTTTTGTCTGTAATCGAACATACCATTTATTCCTATCCTGACAGTCTGTTGGTTTCAGAACCACACAGAAAACAGTAAAAACATTGATTCAGCTTTACATGATTAATATTGTATTAATTATCAGTAATGCATCTGCTGTCTGCTTCCTACTCTTCAAAATACCTCCATACAGCCAACACATGTCATTGTGTGCATCAACTTCTTTGACTGATGATTCTTTCAGCAGAAACTTTCATAACTACCAATACTAATAATTAACATTTTGAGTTATTATCTGCTGATACAGAGAGCATGCATACACTGTCGTGCACCCCTACAATAATGGTATTTGCATTCATTCTAATCCACATTTGTTGTATTTGTGCAGTTGTATACATGCCAAGTTCTTTGCACTCTTTTCATTAGCATGTATTGCAGGTGAATTTAGCTCTATGTACTGAACAAACAATCAGGAGTAAAGACTAACCACAGCCATATTCAAATATTATTTTAGACAGCCAATAACTGTATAACATTTTCATTTTAAGAGATCATAAAAGACCAAAATAAAAATGTAAAAGACTCGGGCTCTGTTCGGATATTTATGCTCAGAAAATACATTTCTATCAGAGCTAATGCAATAATCTGTGACTTAGTTGGAGATATTATGTGTATGACTTCAGGCATGAAGGCGCCACATTGTTCTGCCTACAGTGATGTGTTGGAGTACGAGACCTCGGTGTGTGTGCATATTAGCACAAGCTTGGTTGGACTATCAGACAAAGAGGTTAGAAGAGATGAGAGGATGGGTTTATTGCACAACAATAGCTTTATAGGGCTTAAACTGATCTGCAGCATACCTACAACAACAGCCAAACACACTCACACACACATGCAAACAGTGAACCCAATCAACCTGTGACTGTGCCAACAAGTTACCCACACACACACGGTCTGAATGGCCAAATCCGGCTAGCCCTCTCCCATATCCGGCCAAGTCCATCTACTGTAGCCACACACACACACACACACAGAAAGAGCCAAAACCTAGTGACACCCATGCACATACCCCATTTATAAACACACACATACACAAACCTAAAACGTGACCACACAGCTTAGCCCCCCAGTAAGACCCGCAGAGCCCACAGTAGCTATATTTGTGAATATGTGGATGTGTGTGCTCACCGCGGTCAGTACTGAGGCCTCTCCCTGTGATTGGGGAGCACGGATGGAGGGATGGAGAGGCAGAGAGAGAGAGAGAAAGAGGATTAGAGTGATATGGAGACAAAGAACAACAATAGTTTGTCACATTTTGTCAGAGAGGATTTTATAGAAAAGCTGATTTGGAGTCTGCCACCAACAAACAACCATCGGAAATATGGGATTTATGACTAAATCAGTTTGAGAATTTGCAGAAAGTTTAACTGAGCCTAAGTGTGTGATACTTTTGAGTGTGTGTGTGTCTATGTGTGTGTGTGTGTGTGTGTGTGTGTGTGTGTGTGCAAACTTCATCAACACCCAAGCAGAAGTAAGTAAAGTAAAACAATATGTGAGATAAGTGAGCGTGTCCTTCTTGATGAATACTCCTCTACTCCTCAAGTTTACTATAATTGTTGTTGGTCGTGGCTCCATCAGATGTTTTTTCTTTGTATAATTCACACCTCTTGCTGTGTAAACATGGCTTCCATTAGCACTTTTCTCTGCCGGTGTCAGGAGCGCACCAACATGTCAGTCTGAAGCTGCTGGAAATGACACAGCTCTGTCAAAAAAAGCTGCTAATAGAAACACACAAGCTTCACAAACAGTGACGTAAACACAATCATCTTTGACCAGGATCAGTGTTTTCTGATGATGCAGTTGAGCAGATATGCAAGACTCCATTAGTCCTGTATTCCCTATTACCAGTGTAGTCTCATTGCTGTTTTGATCATCACACATTAGGCTTAACTGCCATCATTCACTGTGTCCAATATTTAAAATATTTTATAGTGCACCTTGAGAAATCCATCAAAATAGGTTTTTGTGACATTTAAACATTCATATGACCTCTGTTGTCAAATTCCCTTAAGTTGCATTTTCCACAGTACTTCCTTTTCTATCTAGAATCTGCCTTGAAAACATCATACAAGACACAACAGTCATATTCATAAAAACAGGTGACAAGAAAAATAACTTTTAAAGACATTTTTTGAATGTTTTTATTCTCAAATCTCATTTGAGGAAGTTTTTGTTTGTGTTGATCAAGCTTTACCTCCCTTGATTTGGCTGAATTGCTTCTTTAACAGAACAAATCATCTACTAGGGCTGGGCGATATGGCTTCAAATCAATATCACGATATATTAAGCAGTTCACCTCAATAACGATAAACGAACGATAACTACTCCACAAGCTGCCTACCCCCTCCCACATTACCTTCGTCTACTTCAGCCGCCGCTCCAGCCGCTCCAACTTTTAAACCATCCTCCATCTCCTCACCTGTCTTTCTCTCTTTGTTACGGACTGGATAAGATGGAGTCACGTCTTTGATGTAGGACAGCGCCTTAAAGGGACATGAGACCATAGCCTACCTACACACATCCAAAACCAACTTTTATTTATTGATTTTTTTG